TATTGGTCATGCATGATGGATAGTCGTTGAACATTACCTGTAGATCTGCAGATCTGCTGTGTATTTAGATGTACTCCGTATTATACAATATATACTAGGTATTATACCTGGTCAGTGTTATAAATTCAAAAAATTTTTATTCGCGCAAGCGCATATTATAAATAAATAGTATATGCGCAAACTTTAAAATCATACGCGCACTTTCCGCTTAAACAAATTTAGAAAATATGTGCAAAAAAAATTTTTATAAGCTGTATATATAAAACTGCTCGTTTTTTGTCTCAAATCATCACGAGACCAAGCATGTGACATTGGGTTACTATGTAGATCAAAACTATATGTAGTCATTTAATACGATTTTAGATAATTTTCATGATTTAAGGGTCAATACAGTAATGGATTAAAATTGGGTCTTGCTTTTTTAGATGCACAAGTTGCATTTTTTTTTTTTCTGTCAATGATGATTTAATGTAAGTTGATTCTTGCGCACTATGGCTATAAAGTTATAGAGCCATTTTGAACATTACTTATAAGAATATATGTTTTTTTACCTATTTTAATCAGGTTGTTTCGTTTGGTTGGCCGTGTCAACTTTAAAGTAACTGGTAAGGTTTTTTTTTTAGAAAAAATGTAAAATTCGCTCTATAGTTTTGTTATTTGGAATTTATATTGATCTTCTCAAACTTTCGCCTTAAAATTCTTGGTTATTAAATATGGAATTATATAAACGCCGATTTCACTTAAAGAATGCACACCTTAAAAAATATAAAAAAAACAAGCAATTTAATGAAACAGCACCTGCACCCATTGAAGAAGCATCCGTTGAATTTAATGAAGAATCTAATGAAGAAATATGCCCAATTATGGACCATAATTTATGGTCCTTCGTTTGGTCTGATGATCGATTGATTGATCAAATCAGTGATACGAAATAAGGTAATGGGAAAGTCTAAGTAATTAGTTGAGTAAATATGAAGTAATTAATTTAGTGTATAGATATATTAGTAATCGATGATGTATGCAAAAGAAATAACTTTGCTTCTGTGAAGCTGACATTCATTCTGGTTACATCAATCTGTTAGAATAATAGCCATACGGGTTAGAGGCTAATAAGTTTGGTTTATAGACATGGCTTGTTAAGACGACGGTCATTCATATAGGATTCTATAACCTATCAGAATGATAGTTAAAAAAAAAATTAAAAATTTTTTATACAGTACTAGAAAACTGCGTAGGTTGCTCAATGAGTGTCTAGATATATTTCCACAAAACAAAAAACAAAATTATAGTATGTATGCAAAAAAAATATATTTATTATAAAAATATCA